GGTACAAATTTGCATAATGTTCATTGACCCTGAAACACTGTAGTTGTATCTGAGACTGGAAGAGTTTGGTTCATGTTGTCGTCACAGTTTTGAGGCTGTTTGTGGGGGGTATGGGCGGCGCCATTTTGGAAAATCTTGGGAAATACAAACTACAAATATTCAGAAAGGATACAGAGGTGCTATGATGTGGTGTGTCAGATCATGGCAGAGACGTCAAATTCCACTCGGCGCAGCCCGTTATCAGCTGTCGATCAAAGTTAACCGCCCTTATTTGGCATACGTTTTATATCTAAATACGATCTAAACTAACGAGTTAGAAAGAAATTCACCCCCCCTCACAGTTGTCAGGCACCCGGAACCTATCCAAAAATAGAATAAAAGTCCATGGGACCAACCTGTAAAAGCATGAATTTATTCTGTGAAAACGGATATTTTAACATGAGGTCTATGGATATTTGCTCCCTTTTGGGACCTGCCCCTAGCGGATTTTAGATGTATTGCAGTTTATCGCACTTCCAGGTCAGCTTCATTATTCAGATTAGAATGTTGCCGCTTGTTTTTTGGGCAGTAAATAATGGTGCAGACACCAGTAAACTGACTACCGCAAACCTTAGTAAATCAGCTTGCATGATTCATTTAAAGCTCCAGTTCATCATGATCCCATGATTCAAACTTTAGTTAGTGTGTAATGTGGTTGTTAAAGTATAAATAATATCTGTAAAATTATAAAGCTCAAAGTTCAATGCCAAGCGAGATATTTTATTTAACAGAAGTGGCCTACATCGAACGGCCCATTTGGACTACATCCCTCGACTTCCTTCTTTAATGACGTCAGTAGATCAGTTTTTTTGACTAACGCCCGACAACTTCTTATAATTTACTGTGTTTACTCAGCTCTTACGGTGATTTTCTGAAGTAAAACTGACGCTTCATCTTCTGTGTGATGAACAATAAACTTTAGTAATGTCATCAGAATATGTTTGATCATCATTCAGACCTGGTCTGAAACAACAGACTTGTAGGCTATTAAATAATGGATAAATACAAGCAGATGACAAATATGTTATAATAACCGTAATTAAACTACTAAACTATACCTGTTCCATCTCTATACAGCACTCTGACTCTGTAGGCATAATTGTCAGACTCGAAGTGAACACGATTACTGAGAGTTTCAGATATTATCATAATTCCATGAGATGAAATTGTCCTAAGAGACTGAGCGCGAACTCATGAAGCTCCGCCCCCTGTGCCGGCAGCAGCAGCTCATTTGCATTTAAAGGGCTCACACTAAAACAGCGCGTTTTTCTGAGCCCCAAAAAAATGACAATTTAAACATGCTGTAAAAAATGATCTGTTGGGTATTTTGAGCTGAAACTTCACATACACATTCTGGGGACATCTTATTTTACATCTTGTGAAAAGGGGCATAATACAGGACCTTTAAATGCTCTCCTCACATAAATTTTGCGTCTGAAAGGAAAACTCATACAAAAGCATTTGCAATAAAATCAGCCGCAAAAATAACCCTGTTCACAGGGCTATATTTTCACTGCGTCTTTAGTAAATCCTATGCACACAGTTATCAGCATCCCTCCACCACACTTCTAACTAGCCTTATCACATCCCGCAGGATTTCTCAGGGTTCGGGCCAAACTAGAGAACCCCACCCCCGTCCCGTATAAAAAAAGTCACAATTACCTTTTTTTAATCTTTTATTCTGTGGCGCGAACTAGCTTCCAGAGAGATACCCAGTGGTCATTAATCAGACACACACAGTTTGCATCTAGTGTCAGCGCTGACATGTACATGACTAAGCCCACTCTCCCTGTCCGCACGGATCCAGCACCACCACCACCAATCATGAGTGTTTATACAGCAGGTGTTGCCCTCGCTTGTAAGAGGAAGACGGGATCTGCTTGACAGACATGCTAGTTAAAGACTGGCAAGCCGAGCGGAGTGTGACCTCGCTCCTTCAGACCTGTGCCGGTCTGCACTCTGGCTGAACCCGAGCCGCTGATAATCAGCCCGCCGGATCATATCTTCTCACCTTCGACCTCGCAGTTTCTGTCTGATGTAAAGCAAGTGAAAAGCAACACTTCTGGGCCTGATTGGTTAGGTGCGCGGGCGAAGAATGTCGACTGCACGGGTTGTTTATTAATACTTACATGATGTGAGGAATATCTGTGTATGCGTTTCCATCATTATAGGTTTATAGGGAGAGGTATTATTTATGTCGTTTTGCTGATTTATGAATGTTTGAAGAACTAGGGCCTGATCACAGCCAAGCGCCGGCTCTGAAGCTCTTGGCAGAGAGTGAGACGTGGCACTACAGAACGAGCTGACGCCCATATTCAACTCAACATTCACACATATTGATATTTGTAAAAGACTTGAAATGTAATGGAAAAAAATAATAGGTAGCACTTTATTGTACAGTCCCGTTCACCATGTTCATGTACGTATTATAGTAAACTGGGTAATAACTAGGTACTAATCCTGAACCCATGTAGTTTACCTTATATTACCACTACTTTCCTCGGTAAGTGCACTGTAAGTACACGTACTGTAAAATAAAGCGCAACCACAAAGCATTTAAAACTGCTCAACTGGCTATTTGATGTCAGTGTTATGAATGACTAAATCAGGTGTTGTTATGTTAAGCTTAACAAAGCTCATTTAAAATAGATCACTCGGAAAATTGCTGGGTTGTTTTAACCCAACTTTGGGTCAAATATGGACAAACCCAGCCATTGAGTTATATTTTTGAATGACATTTTTTAACCCAACGTTTGGGTTTGTCCATATCTGACCCAAAGCATTTTTAAAGTGTGGGCAAATTAATAAATCATTAGAGAATGCTCCAAAAATATTCTTTAAAGTTTTTACACTCTAAACAATGCTGGGTTGTTTCCACCCAAATTTGGGTCAAATATGGACAAACCCAAATGTTGGGTTAAAAATTTCATTTAAAATTTTAAACCAACTTTCACTTTCAACTGTTCAACTATTTTAATGATATTTTTAACCCAACATTTGGGTTTGTCCATATTTAACCCAAATTTGGGTTTTTAGAGTGTATGTTTTTAAGTTAAGATAATTTCTTTCTTTGATATATAAGAGAATAGCAGTACAATAAATATCAGAAATAAAGAAAATAAGCTTCAATATGCCTTTATAAATAAAAAATAAAAAAATCCATTCTTAATTCAAATCAAGCAAAAGATTCAATCAAAAGAAGACCAACCTGTGGCCACATTTAATTTGGTTTAACACAACAATATCATGTTATTCCTTAATGCATTGAACAATCCTTTTAAAATGCAACAGCTCGGACTATCACAAATATATATATTTTGAACAATGTTGAGCTATCATTTCAAACCCAGATTCCAGTTTGCTTTGTCAATTCATTCTCAAATGTTTAAAGTTGTTCATTTTTAGATATTAAAAAAATGATGAATTTAAATGGCAACTGTCTGTGATCATGTCTTTGCGATATAATGACGATGACTGTGTCTTTTGTGTGAGTTGATAAACCGGGGTCCCCTGCACCGTTGGTCCCCTGCTGTGAGCGCACAGAATGAAATTAGGCCGGCGGCCCCAATCTACACACAGCTTCTGATAAAGCCTTCAATAACACCACCTCAACGGTTACTGCTTATGAAACGACATAAACCATCTCCCCATGGCCGTATTCAACTGTGGGGGATCTGTCCCACTGTGCATCGCCTATCAATCTCATAAAATAAACTATCTTAGATAATAGCAGAATTAAATTTGGTTACATTTTCTTCTTACAGTGCATTTAAGTACTGAGTAATATTAAGTAAGTACATGTACTTATACGGTATTGGTTACGGGTTAGTTGCATGTCATTTATAATTACTATAGAGACTACATGTAACAAGGATCACTGTAAAATAAAGGGTTATCTGAATCAGTGTAATATGAACTTGTATTTTACTGTGGATTTAAATGAATACAGTGTGTGTTTACATTGGTAACATTAATAAACAACATTAGGAATTAGGTTGAACTGTTTATAAATGCTCGCTGTTATCATTAGTTAGTTAGTTTATTAATTGTTGAAGTATAATATGTGTATAATACGCATACATATTAAGTTTAGTAATTAATGGGCTCATTAAAGAAATTCAAACGAAAAACGATTAGTGTCCATCACATAGGCCTTTCTAATATAAACCCGCGTGTTTAGTGACTGTGTGAGATCTCAAGTGTGAATGTTTACGCGTGGAGTATCAAAATCAACACAAGCGGTGTGTGTCTTAGTAATTACACTATCACCCAATCAACAATGACTGAAAATGGGCATCTCATTGTCTGCGTGTTTCGTGTTTCGGTTCATCGTTTTAAGGCGAGCAGAAGCGGCTCTGTCGTGTCGTTTATTTGACACGAGCGCTTGTGTAGTTGTCGAAGTCGTAATCAGCTCTTGTAAACATAAGAGAACGAGACTATGAAATGAACAGCCCTCGTTTATCTTCTGTCTTCCTGCAGCCCAGAAGATAACCAGGCTTTGAGTTAAAAAAAAAAAAAAAACATAGGCTAAATAGCCTAAATAAAAATCTACTTGCACTCTTGATAATAGGCTACAAAGTGATATGCTATGAATTTCTGTATTTCAGAAAGGGATATAGGCTAGACTTGATAAATCATTTTCTAACCATTTCTAGTTATGGGTTCAGTGTTTAGATGGAGTGGATAAAAATAAATCAGCTAAAGTTTAAATGGTAAAAAAAAAAAAGTCAAATAAAAATGTGTTTTTAGCAACCAGTCCAACCACTGCAAAATCCATCGGTTCAAACAGTTTAAATGTTACAATTTAAAAACTCATAAACGTGTGTGGAACATATTGTGACGAAATGTATACAAATATAAATAATGATGAAACCGTTTCGGTTTGCGCCGCGACGTGTGAATTAAATTTAGAGTTTAGCCTAGCTCCAGATGTGCTTTGTTTAAAATAGAATCCACATTACCTTGAGAATATTAGGGTGCTGTAATCTCTCCATCAGGGTCATTTCCTTGACAATTTTGAAGGATGCGAGTTTGTAACAGTCTGTCGTTGATGCGTATTTCTTCACACAATTCTCCATGTCGTGACCCCCGAAATCGACGGATTTCAACGCGACGGAGAAGCTGCTGTTCAGAGCCGCCTTGTACACCGCCTTCGTGTATCCCGAGCCCAGATACTGGACATCGGTAACGTTATCAATACTGCCGCAGCCGAGCACCGACTTTGTTGCTATGGATACAGCTCGAGACTGATCGTAATTATTGTTTTTCTCGATTCCTTTGTATGATTCCCACTCTCCGCGTTGCTCCAGGTCCATGAGCCGCCTGCGCTCGAGCGCTCCGGTGCCGACCCAGTGCGCGCGTCTCTGGCGGTACCGCAGAACCTCATCTAATCGCTCACGTATTTGCCGCTGGAGCTCCGGGAGTCGTCCGGCGGAGGGTGTCAGGTCCTCGATTTGAAGCCGGGCAGGAGAGTCCGCGTCGGGCTGCTGCTGCTGCGGCTGCAGTTTCTCGTGCTGGTGGTGGCGATGCACGCGCTCGCCGTGGTGCTCGAATCCCGGAATGAACAATAAATTCATCAGCGTACCCATGAGGAACGAGAGGCAGAAGCCCGCCGCTACCACCATCTTCCTCCGCTTCATTTTGTTGCTTATTATTATTAGGAGAAAATAGATGTGTTCCCCCTTCCAGCCTCCGCCTACCCGCCGGGCAGCAGCAGGCAGTGTGGCCGAGCCGGAGTGTCTCGTGCAGCGTGAAGGCTTCAGGATCGCGAGGGAAGGCTATGATGCTGCGCTCAGAAAGATGTGCCGTACGTTCATCTTGCTGTTATGATTTAAGATCCACCCCATACACTGCTGCTCATGGTGACACAGCGTGTGCGCGCAGTTAACGGGGGTCTCCGAGCGCGCACCAGCACTTCGCCTCAGCGCGACTCCGACGAGACTGACGTCACTTTGACTGGCAGTTCACTCGGCGAGAAAGCAAAGGTTCGCGCTTAAAGGAATAGTTCCCCTCAACATAAGAATTGTGTCGTCATTTGCTCACCCTCAAGTCGCTCCAAACCTGTATGACGTTCGTTCTTTTGTGGAATGCAAAAGGTCGTTGGAGGAATGTCTGCATGCATGGACAATGAATAGTGACTTGATATCAAGCCTCAAAACGGAACGCAAACATAATGTGTTCGGCTATTTTTAAGTCTTTTGAAGCCACATTATAGCTTTGTGTGATAAACAGACAAATAAATAAGAAATTAACGTTTATGCGTTTTGCTTTTGTCAGCCAAGTTAGGCCTATTTTATGAAGATCTTGAATGTTCAGTCCCCATTCAATGGCATTGCACGAAAAAAAGGGACACATCCCTTAAAATTTCTCCTCTCGTGCACTGAAGAAAGTTGCAGATGACAGGAGGGTAAATAATGACAAATTAAGAAAATTTAGAAAATGTAGATTAAAAAAAAAAAGAAAGAAATTTCATATTTTTGGTTTTCCTCTTGACTGTCTGGAATTTTGACGCGCGCACACACACTCACTAGCCTATATTACATAGTGCTTTCAAATCGATTAATTGCGATTAATCGAATCTAACATAAAAGTTTCTAAATAGCCTATATTATTATAACACACACAAACACAAACTTTTAGTTGCATTAATCGATTTGACAGCGTATATATAATTATATAGCTATAGGCCTTTAGTTTTTCACAGACCATCCTTTTGTGTAATATATTTAACGGTTTACAATTGAAATATCTTGAAGTTTTCCTCTGTGTTTCTGGCTAAACACCCACGTGATACAGTTAGTTTGCATGTCTACGTGTTTACCGAATGTTTCAAGCAAGCATTTAATTGTGTTTTTTCAGCGCATTAGACTCGGCTCAGTTTGCAAGTCCCTCTGACTTTCGGAAAGAAAAATGTGTATAATTATGTCTCTGGGGTCGGAGAAGTAAAAGTTTAAATGAAAAACAGACACGGGCGGGCAAAGGGGGAGAGAAATGATGGAAACATGGCACTTGTAAGCTTTGTTAAACTCGCGCGAGATAAGGAATTCCTCACTAACACCAGGCGCTGTGTTTGACCGAGAGTAAATAAACGGCGAAATCAGTCAACACCCTCATATGTTCAACACGAACTCATAAACGATATAATAATACGGTATAATTATTAAGCAATGGCTCTCTCTCTCTCTCTCTCTCTCTCTCTCTCTCTCTCTCTCTCTCTCTCTCTCTCTCTCTCTCTCTCTCTCTCTCTCTCTCGTGAAGCAGGAATAGCGCAGGCCGAATGCCAGCGACACACACAGCTATCCATCACGCGCGCATTAACATGCTGTTAGCAACTCATTAACAAATACAATCAACCTGTAAACTGGAGCAATAAGAGCAGATCAGCAGGAGCCCGGCCGCTCCAGGGCCGCTTCAGTGTTGCCATGCGTCTTTTATTTATAGCAGTAATTAAGCTAATGTAATTAGGCTAGGTGATGTTAGTCTCTGTCTAATGTGAAAAAACTTCGCTGGAGGAAAATGCATGGATTGCATAACAACAATAACATAATTATAATACAATCATATTAAGGCAATATTGACAACTCTCAACTAGTGTATGGTCATTTATGCGCATAGGCCTACTCCGTAAAAAGAGAAACTTAGCTCCATCTTATGGACGTTATAATAATAATAATAATAAAAAGTATTATTATAAATACTAATGCAAATAGTCATAATCAAAAACACTCTGGCAATGTAAACATAAAATCACTTATCTGTACAAATAACATGCTCAATATATGTAGCATTCAGGGAAAAATAAACGTAATGTATTAAATGAATAAGTGCTCTATCAATAATGAGCTGTTTAAATTGAAGTCTAGTTTATCCAATACACTTCTCTTTCTCATAGGTCTCAATGAAAGGTCCAGCATGACTGTCATGCTTAAAGAATCCTGTACGACAATGTTAGTTTTGCTAATGAATGATATGCATGACACTTGGACTCAAGCTGAGAGAGACACAATGTTATCGGCCTGCATGATAATGGCGCATTAATATCAGGAGAGGCGGTCGCGTCATCAGCACCCCCACCAAAACATTTACATGTCTTTCTTTTTTTTGTATCTAGCGTTTTTTTTTTTTTTTTTTTTTAAAGAATATGGACTGAGGGGGGAAATGATCATTTGGTAAATTTCATAATAACGTCCATGAGTTAAGTAGCTAAAAGTATCTAAATGCGCGGCTCTATATTTTAAATTTAGGAGCACATGTCCTCCTTAGAAAAAAGCAAGTGTAAGCCCTGTAAATCGTTTCTACGTTAAATGAACATTCCACTATTTGGTTGCACATGCATTCTAGGCTATATGTTTTCTTTACTCTGGAAAATAATGTGTGAGGACCAAATACATTTTTTTTTTTTTTTTTTTTTGTAATACGATATGGCTTTTGTTGAAGACAGTGTTGGTTGCCTGTGTATACCTATTTATAATAAACTATTAGGCTAATTGAGACAGAATAGGTAAATAATAAAATAATAATAATAATTATTATTATTATTATTTAAAGTCACGTGAGCTGCATTGCAGATGTTGTGATGTTTGAGCGGGGCGGGGCGCATTAATCCGCCTTAAGAAAAGTTCATTTTCCTGGAGGTTTCTCAGACAATGGAGCAGACATTGTGCTCCCAAAACCCACTGCGTTTTTACTGTCATGTTTGCATATAAATTCACTCAGGGTAAACATTCAAGTGACTGTAGGTACGGTGCGTTTCCCTTTGACTGACGTTTTTGTGATTGAGTGGATTATTAGGGCGTTTATCCGAGCCCTCGCTTTCACGTTTCCTTTGACATCAATTTTACGCCACCTTTAGTAGTAACCATGTGGAGGCGTGAAACATCTGTGTGACTGCAAATATATATCATATGCGGTTGTGTCAATCAAGCATCAATCAGAATATCTGACATGATCGCTGATAAATAGCCTACTCTTTTTTTCTGTTCTATTTGTAGGGCTCATAAAAATGACGTTTCTACTAAATTATTAGAATTTGTTGTGCATTTGAAAAATGAAATTGTTAATTTCAATAAATTGGTTAACATTATTTAACTACAATAGTTAGCATGAACTAATAAGGAACTGCTTATACAGCATTTATTAATCTTTGTTAATGTTACTTTTTCAACATTTACTAATACTTTATTAAAATCTTGTTAACATTAGATAATGCACTGTGAACTAACATGAACAAACAATGAACAGCTTTATTTTTGTTAACTAACGTTAACAAAAAAGATTAACAAATAACAAATGTTTACATTTATTGATTTAGCAGAGCTTTTATCCAAATTTGCGACTTACAAATGAGAGCAATACGCTGATTTCACGCAGAAGCCATTTTGAAATAGAAAGCGAGGCTCCGGTGGGAAAAATCGGAAGTAGCCTAGATAGACGGCCTTGTCTTGGACTACCAACCCGAAGCTGCTGCCGAGATTTAAACCATTAGATGTTAATATCCAATATAGGATATGTACATATAGTTCATTCCTTCTTTTTTATTTTCTGAACATAAAAAATATATTTATAAATTTACTGTAAATGTCATGGTATAGTCTAAACTATGAAAGAAATGTAGGCCTATGTACATTTTTAGAATAACAAATTTCTACATTAAACACAACAATAAGCCATCGCATTCGCGACTCTTCCACCGGAGCCATTTCAAAATGACGGCTGCGTGAATTCAGCATATAGGACAACGGTATGCAAGAGCTATGACCCTTCCCAGTTTAACCTAATGCAGTACGTGTACACAATTTTTTATATATAAAGACAATAGATATAGAATAGAAGATAAATTGTAATGGATCAAGTGTTGCCAAAAATATGCATCTTCAGCCATTTCTTGAAAATGGACACACTCAGCAGCTCTGGTATAGCTAGCAGGGACCAGAAAAAGGTAAAAGAAAGCGATTGTGTGCCTCTGAAGACAGCGTTCACTTGCAGAGCGATGTTTCTGGATGGCACGTAAGTCTGAAGTAATGAGTTGAGGTAAAAGGGAGCTTGAATTTGAATTTAATGCGAGCGGCAACTGGAAACCACTGCAGTTTTGTGAGGAGAGGAGTGACATGCGCTGCTCATGAAAGACCACTTTTGCTGCAGCATCTGGATCAGTTGCAGAGGTTTGACAGAGCAAGCTAGGAGAGCATTACAATAGTCCATTCTGGATAGAACAAGTGCTTGGAGTAGTTGTGTAGCATGCTCCGATAGGAAGGGCCTGATCCTTCTAATAATGAATATGGCAAATCTGCAGGACTGAGCAGTTCTAGCAAGTTCAATTGGTCACCAATAACAACTCACAGGTTCCTGGCTGACCTTGATGGATTTATGGATGACTAACCTAGCTGAATGAAGAAGTTGTGGTGTAGTGTTAGGTTGGCCGGGACAATAAGCAACTCTGTCTTCGCAAGGTTTAGTTGAAGGTGGTAGTCCTTCATCAAGTCAGAAATGTCTGTCAGGCAGGCCGAGATACGAGCAGCAACCGCCGGATCGTCAGGCTGGAATGAGAGGTAGAGTTGTGTGATAGGAAAAGCCAAGTTCTGAATCACAGATCCTAGTGATGTCATGTAGACGGAGAAGAGAAGTGGTCCAAGTACTGAGCCCTGAGGCACCCCAGTAGCTAGATGTTGGGTCTTGGACACCTCACCCCTCCATGACACCTTACCTGAGAGGTAAGAGTTGAACCATTGTAGTGCGGTTCCCGAGATGCCCTTCGTCTTTAAAATCTGGTGGTTAACTGTGTCAAAGGCAGCAGACAGATCCAGCAGGACGAGAACTGAGAATTTGGAAACTGCTCTTGCCAGTCTCCGAGCTTCCATTACAGAGAGCAGGGCCGTCTTAGTTGAGTGTCTGCTTTTGAAACCAGGGGAGCGTTTCCCAAAAGCAT